AGATTACTTCAGTTGAATGAAATGGATGAGTTTCGATTGGAAGCCTATGAGAATGCAAAACTCTACAAGGAGCGCACAAAAAAATGGCATGACATGCACATTCAAAGAAGGAAGTTTGAAGTTGGGCAACAAGTTTTGCTGTACAATTCTAGACTCAAACTTTTTCCTTGTAAATTGAGGTCTAGGTGGTCAGGGCCATACACCATAGTCAAGGTGTTTCCTTATGGAACAGTTGAAATAATGCATGAAAGTAAAGGGACCTTTAAGGTTAATGGACAACGGTTGAAGCCATATTGGAACGGTGAATTTTCGAAAGAAAAATCAACCGTTCAACTTGCAACACCAGAATGAATGAACAAAAAGTCGAGCTCTAGACTATAAATCGAGCGCTTAATGGGAGGCAACCCATTCTTCTATCTCCTTTTGCTATTTTAATTAACTATTGCATTACATGTAGTTTTAGGGACTGCATTAATTTAGGAACTCATGCATTTAAATGGGTAGTGTTGGACACATTTTAAGTGATACTTTCAGACCTGGACCAGTAACTTAGGCATATTTATTTATTAAGTTCATTTTATTTTGACATGGTTATCTAGGTTCATCGTTAACATCTTAGCATTCTATTGAGCTTACATTGATGTGATATGCATCTTTAAGGTGGTACCTAAATCTCAATCTTTCTTGGTATGAACTTATTGCAAATATCTAACTTTTGTGTGCTATCACTAATATTTATTTTGAATACTTGAAACAGAGAATTAAAGCCTCACAACAAAGAAAAGCTACAGCTGTCATGATACCTACCAATTGGAGCAGCCTGATTATTCATCGCATCCACATTTACCCCGGGGAGTTTTTGATCCTTACCCCTTACTTTGTTTAGTTTTGCTTATACATTGGGGACAATGTAGTATTTTAGTTTGGGGATGGGTGAGTATTAGGATACCTAGAATACATATTTTTCAACTGCTAATCGAGTCCGTATAACTGTTATAAAATAAATAAATAAAAAAATAAAAATAAAATCATTCAAAAAAAATAAAAAAATAAAAAAATAAAAAAAAATTTGTTTAGTAGCGTTGACGACTTGCCGTCTATGAAGATATTATTTGTTTGAATTGAGTACATATTTAGTTAGATGCCGGATAACATCTTAACTTGTACTTTCACTTTAAAACTTATCCATGTTAGATTTGATTATTTGAGCACAGAGCCATAATGATTTATCACTTATGTTGGTATACAATGTAATTTTTGTGGAATTGTTGATGTTGTTGACTTAGGTTTGAATAAAATTCCCAAGTACCTTATTTAGAAACCAAACTGGAAAAAAAAAGCAGTTTGGGGGTGAGAAGGTTAGTGCTTGTCTTCCTAGAAGTGCGATGGTTTGGAATTCTCGGACCCCAACGTTAATTGAAAGGGTTTGAGTTAAAAAGTCTAAAACGGGCACTGATCATTATACATTTTTTTTACTTCTTTTTGTAGCCTTTATGACCCGAGTGATTAAGCCTGCAAGGGTATCTAAAAACCTGATGCCCTATAGTCGTCTGACTTGGGAGTCATCGGCCTAAAACTCGTTACATGGGTCATTTAGAAAGCTTAATGGAAAGAAGCTTTGCACATAAGAAAAAAAATAAAAATAAATAAACAGTTGGATTCTCATATCAAAAGAAAAAGCAACACATCTTCTACTTATTTTCGTAGCCTTTTTGACTCGGGTTATTAAGCCTGCAAGGGTATCTAAAAACCTGATGCCCTATAGTCGTCTGACTTGGGAGTCATCGGCCTAAAACTCGCTACATGAGTCATTTAGAAAGCTTAATGAAGAGAAGTCTTGCACAGGAGATGTCAAAAAAAAAAAATGAAGAAGAAAATTTGAGATATAATTTATCAAAAGTGAGATGTGCCTAGTAATGACTTTGAGATTTGAATT